AAGAATATTATAAGTACAGTATTAATAATCTTAATAATAAATTACAGTCTAAACGGAGTAAGACAATCTTAAAGCTAAGGTACAATTATTTAACTAAAAATAGGTAAATACATTTCTTCGTATTCTTGTTAAGTTTTTTCTAGAGTAAGTTTGAGCAGCCGACGAAACCGGTTATACGATAGATGGAAAGGGTCTAAATGAGACGAATATTTGTTCATTAATTTACAAAGTCTAGGGATTGCGGAAGACGAACCAAGGACGGTTCGAAAAAATGGAACGGCAAAAGGTTTAATGGGAAAACGGGGGTACCTCCTAGGAATCCGAAGTTTAATTTTTGATAAAAGGATAGGACTGTCTACAAAGTTATTCAGAATTTTGTGGAGAAGAGAAAGGTCAGCCATATTAAACCTATTGTCAATGGTCATTAATTTAAAATGAGAGGCCCTATCCTTGTAAGGTGCTTGTTTTAAAGAGGGGGAAAAGACTCTGGTGAGATGCCATATAAATTTTTTTTGAATGCGCTCGAGCCTTAATTGATGTGAGGCAAAATGTGGGCGCCAAACTTGACTACAATATTCTATTTGACTGCGGACCAGGCTATTAAATAGTATCACTTTCGACATGCTATTTTTAAAATGTTTACTATTTCTTAGTATGAATCCTAACATTTTGGAAGATTTTTTGATGACTGCTTCCAGATGCGCTTCAAACGTTATTTTTGCGTCAATTAAAATGCCAAGATCTTTAACAACTGGAACTTCTTTTATATGTTCATTATCTAAATAATAATTAGTAGGGATTACTCTTTGGTTCCGTGTAATTTTAATATGTTGGCATTTGTCGTAATTTAGTAACATTTCGTTGTCTTTACACCATTTAGCCAATCTATTCAAGTCATTTTGAATGTGAATTGAGTCATCTTGTGTAGCAACAATTGCAGCAATCTTGAGATCATCGGCATAAAGAAATGGCTTGCAATAACTAAAATTCCCGACAATATCGTTAATAAATATATTAAAAAGAAGCGGACCTAAATGGGAACCTTGTGGTACACCTGAAGAGACACTGTGGATAGTAGAGTTATAACCATTAGCAACAACAAAAAAAATACGTTTATAGAGATAGGATTTTAGCCATAATAATAAATTACCTGATATACCGTAACTTTGCAATTTATTAATGAGCAATACATGCGATATTTTGTCAAACGCTTTGCTGAAGTCGGTATAGATCACATCACACTGTTTCTTTGCATCCACGGCAGTGATTAAGAAATTACTAAATTCTAAGAGATTTGTGGTCGCTGATCTACCAGAGATAAAACCATGCTGGGAAGGTGATAACCATTGTTTAAAGTGGTTTTGGATTACGGGGCACAGCAAGGACTCAAAAACTTTTGCAAAGGTTGACAATATAGAAATTGGACGGTAATTCTGTACCGAAGACGCTTGGCCACTCTTGAGCAGCGGTATAACTTTAGCCATTTTCCACTTATTAGGAAATATGCCCGATTGGAGAGACAGATTAAAAAGTAACGTAAGTGGTTCGTCGAGGCACGTGGCACATTTTTTTATGAAAATGGCTGGAATGCCGTCAGCACCAGTACCTTTATGCGGGTTTAAAGCTCTCAGGCGACTAAGAACTTCTTTACGGTTAATTTGATAGGACGCCAGAATATTGCTACCAGTATGGTCAGTTGTTGATGTTACCTTCATGACTTCTACCATACTATTATACGCATATACAGATGCAAAGTAAGTAGCAAAAAGATTACAAATATCCGATCCATTTGTCATTTCCACAGATCCGTCAGATATAACTCGCGGGTAACTATTTGTAGAACTATGTTTTTTATTTATGTAGGTCCAAAAGTATTTAGGGTTATCTTTAATTGATTTCTCTACAAGTTCTGTGTAAGAATTATAGTCTTGTATGGCTCTGCCCTGACATCTGTTTTTTAAAATATTAAGTGATACTTTGTCAAGTTCATTTTTATATTTTTTATATCGTTGCCTGTATTTTTCCTTTTCTTTAAACATCTTAATTAACGATTTAGAAAACCATACCGGATAACTGTACTTTTTAAATTTCTTCATGGGCACATATTTATTAATAGTTTCGGTGATCACATCATAAAAAATATCTAAAGAATCATCCACGTTATTCCTAGAAAGTAGCATCTTCCAATCACAAGTATTCAGGTGATTAATTATTAAGTTATAATCAGCTTTATGGTAGTTAAAGGAAACGTTATCTTTATTTTTTTTAAGGTAAGTTTTTTTAGATGAGAAAAAATTTACTGTAAAAGGAGGATGTAGGGGATCAGCGGGAACGAGAGGGATAGCAACAGGTGAGATTTCGCATGAGTCGAGATCTGTCAAGACTAAGTCTAAAATTCTGCGTTTACTATTTGGTATATAGTTAAGCTGCCTAAGGTTATTTACATTAACAAAATCAATAAAAGTATGCCCCAACTGGGAGGTTCTGTAGTTAAAGTCGTTATTGATCAATTGCCAATCCAAAAAGCTTAAATTAAAGTCGCCGATTATACAGACGGGCATGCTACCATCCAAAAATGAACAGGACTTATCGATAAAATGTTCGATTAATGTTTTACTAGCCGGAGGGGGAAGATACGCCGCGCAAAGTAATAAATGTATACAAGAGTTGTCCAATTCTAAAGTTATAGTCACCCATAGGTCTTCGCATTTACTTTCATAGTTCGGCATTCTTCGCGGGTTCAAATAGTTTGCAACTGCCATGAGAACGCCCCCACCTTCTTTATCAGAATGAAAACCTGAGCTAATTCTGTCTCTTCTAAACACTGTATATCTTTCGTCAAATAACTCACCATCGAAGATTTTATCGTTCAACCAAGTTTCACTAGCAACTACTACATCAAAATTACTTATACATAGGTTTCTATAGAATAGATGAGTTTTGGTCCGGAGACCTCGACAATTTTGATAGTATATTAACATTAATTACTATATTACTTCAATATTTTAAAAACAAACTATATAAGAGCATAAAATATTCAAAGTTAACAATAAGAACTACTCCAACTTCTCAAGAGTGTGCAAATTTTTTATAAAAATAATTTTTGAAGATTCAGTTTTGCGCATATAAACACGTCCACCCCTAACCCAGACAAATTTAAATCCAAGTTCCTTAGATTTGGTTCTTGCTTTGGCGTGAAGGGTGGCGTGAAGGGGAATAATATAATATAATAGCAGTGATACATATTTAAGAGTATACGAATCTATTGTTTTGCTTTCAAGTTATACAACAAAAGCATACTCTCTATAATGAACCAGTAACACCGAATAAGAGTATCAATAATCATTGCATAAAAATAATACATTTCAACGAGAAACGAACACGAGATTGATGCGGAAAATCTCAAGATTTCTCGAGTTTTTTCAAATGAACACAATGGGACATGAAAGATATTCATACTCGCTTTACACCGCACTTCAAGGTTGAGTGAGAATAAATCGCACCATCTAGTAGCTTTTGCTACACGGGTAAGTATATAATGACAAATCCGAATATTATTTTTTTGACAGGCGTTGGTTCTACGCTTATACAAAAGCTGAGTGATGTCCCTCCATTTTGTATGTGTTTTATTTCTGTAACGATCTAATATGAGGTAAACATTATATAACATTATTTTGATATAGGTTAATTTCATAACCGATCGTTCGTTTGTTTATTTTCAAGTGTATTTGTAAATCTTTTACTAGTTCCAAATAACATGTTCGACGTAGCGAATGAGAAAACGCAATAAATGGGTAGGAATAACAACATTTTGTCCGGATCACCAATCATAGATGGTATTGTCACGAAGTAAAAATGTATGTTTTGGTTTCAGTCGATAGACTCCTAAATATCTAATGCTAATAATATAGGCGGACATGACATCTTAATAGATCAATAAAAAATTCCGACAAGGGTGGGACTTGAATCGACATCCACAGCATTCTATATTGCTGCTCTAACCAGTTGAGCTACCGTATCTAATCATATACTTAACGAAATTGGCAGAAATTAAATAAATCAATTCCAACTGATTAAAAGCGGACTTAATAAATAGAATGAAATTAATTCTAGTTTCAAATGTTATTAAGCAGCAACCCTCGGGATCCAAATGGTTGGGAAAATTCACGAATTCAATCTGTTTAATGTTGTTTTTTACAGTTTTAAAATGGAAATGACCCCTCCATTTGTTTTCGCAATGGATTGCTTAATATACTTGTGAATCACTTATGCAATATTCGAGATGTTTATGAATTCCCTTAAAACAAAAGAGATATATGTGAAAACGAAATTTGTTTACGGAAGTAACAATACCTACAGTTCCTTAAGTACGGTTTGCGAGGTCTTAGTCGTGTCTTAAACAATTACTTGGGATACATGTTGTCGAAACGTTTTTTTTTCTCATATCCTACTCCGCTTACAATTCTTAGCAGATTATTGGACGTTTGCCAAAGAAGTTTCAATTGTGAAAAATAGAAACACCACAAATTATATTTCAAACGTTTGGCATGCTTCGATATTACCATGTTTCCACCTCGTTCTGTTATTTTAAATAGTTTATGAATGATACATTGACAGATAAAAATACTTATTCTGTACAACTCAGATGGATCGCCTGTGTAGGTCAATAGTAGTGTGAGATGTGAGATGTCCCGTGGAAATGCGATGCAAAGTTTCGGCCCGGCAGGACATAAAACTGATCTACTACTCTCTATATGAAATCAACAATTAAAATTTTATTAATTTTTTTGTTTTAAAATTTTGAAAAAAAATAAATTATTTTTATTTTCATTTTCCCTACGGTGTCTTTGTTAATTAATATCATAAGAGTGTAAAAAATGCACAGTAACATATTTTTTTTTCGTATATAACAATGACTGTTTGTCAGAAATACTTGCCTAAAATACATTATGATAACAACAGCATTTCCTGAGCAGCCCACAACTGCCATAGTCACATACAGCCCGCCAAGAAGGTAATGCATTGCTGGTTCCGGAGGATTAAATTTCAGCCAGTGAGGATTGATAAGAAGCAGGTAGTCATCCTTAAACAGATATTTCCGCCACATGAAGATAGGCCACTTTTTCTTAAAAGTTACCAGGACATCAGAATCGCGCGGGAGGTCGATTCGAGCCACAGGTGTACTCTGCACATCAAGAAGATATTCATAGTCCATGGCCCTGCGTTTTATTCTTATCCTTAATTCGTCAAACATACTTGATAAACGCTTGCGCTTCTTCCAAAGTTTATAATTCTCCACGCACCGAACTATGCCACTATGGCAGATTTTATTCACAACACTTTTATTTTTATTTACACTTTTCACGTCTAATTCTGTGAGCGTATTATCGCATGGCACTATTATGGGAATAATTATGAGAATTATTTTTGCCATTTGCACCATGGCGGGATTTTGTACAACAGCTTTCTAGGCGCGCGACCGCTCCGCGCGCTTTCAACGACAAAATGAGACGGGCTTTCGGTTGCGTGGTGATTGAGCTTTCTATGTTGAGATTATATGTTATATATATGAAGCAAATATATATTAAGCATTATAAGTGCATTATTTGATAGTTAATAATTTCGTAATATAATACATATAAGTACGGGCGTAACTCTGACCGCCTCTGTAGCCAAATGGTTAAACGTATTTCCTCGCATTGCGTTTAGCGCGAGAGGTCCTGGGTTAGAATCCCAGGGAAACAAAAAAGTTTTTTCGATCGGGCAGGGCAACAGAAGTCTGATCAACTACTTGCCCATTAACCTGATCAGTGAAACTGACACAGAAATGTGTTCGCCCCATGCCCCACGAGCTGGGAAACGGGCTTTCACTTTTCGCACGAGCGTAACGACCGCTTTAAAGAACGTCAGTCGGATGATATTTATTCTACTATATTTAACTACGTTCGTGCGTTATTTTTTTTATAAAGAATATAAAGTAAATATACATTTAATTACCACCCTTTACTGCTGAAATACGATAAAAAGATTTCGGATAGTGAATTTTCAGCCGATCCCTGTTTCTTGACGCTCGTAAACGATTTGATTTGAACATTTTTATTTTAACCTCGTCGACAGGTCCTTAACCCGGTGCTTTCAATTTGTATTAATTTACCAACAATTACTATAAAATGGAGAATCCATTGTTTGATAAAAAATGTCTCCGTCCATTAACTAAATTGCCAACTCTGATTGTTTCAGTAAACGCAACGTTGGTGACAGTAGCGCAAAAATTAGGCATTCTTAAATAATTATTAATTGTTATTTATGGTATAACACATATACTGACTTTATGGAAGTTTTAATAATGATTAAGTCAAACTTAAGTACAACTCTTAATTGCTACTCGCATATTGAGCAAGTATACATATAAGAATAACCTTTTATAATAACGATAGTATGTAATTATTATGTTTAATATTAGATTTTTTTTTAGAAAATAGATTATGCGAATCCTTACTAATATTATAAATGCGAAAGTAACTCTGTCTGTCTGTTACTCTTTCACGCCAACACTACTGAACGGATTTGAATGAAATTCAGTATACAGATGGTCTAGACCCTGAGAAAGGACATAGGCTACTTTTTATTGCGAAAAGGTGGTTGTGAGGGGTAAAAAGGGGGATGAAAGATTGTATTGAAATTTGTGGTTTTTGAAGCTAGAACAATGAAACTTTCTTCTTTGGCTTTTTGGGAATAGGAGTGGGAGTGGGAGTAGGAATGAGAGTGGGAGTTAGAGTAGGAGTGATGTGAGGTGAGATTGTTGCGGCAAAGCACTTACCATAGATTAGCTGCCTTAAATGCCCCCTTCATAAATTAATAAACAGCTTCAATAATTAAAAATTGTACCCCAATTTACTATTTCACGCGGACAGAGTCGCGGGCACAGCTAGTTGAAAATAAATAAAAAAAATGTAAATCATAAAATGACTATAAAAGTATTAAATTACTTCTTTCGTGTTAGGAATTCACAATAGGTTATCATCAATAGCATCCCCAGTCATGTTAGCTCAGTATTAAAGCACAACACAAATACCTTATGGATTCGACTCTCGCACGTCTAATCGCTTTTTTTGGATTTAAAATGGATATTAAACATGTACAGTATAAAAAAGATCAAATTTTTTGTTTTTCGTATAGTATATTAGCACAATTCATTGAAATATTTAAAAGATCGCTTGTCTACACTGGTACTATACAAGTTTCAGATAGAAATAGTCTCATCTAAATCAGAGATACTTAAGTATTTATTCAGTGTAATTAATATTGGTTCTATATAAATTGGTCAATTTGTTTTTCCTTGAACACTCAAGAAGAAAAATCGAGGAACCGATTAGCATTATTTAATTAAACATGCCGATCTCGTTACTAGGTATATTGCGGGCAAGTATTATACCAGTAATTATTTCAACACAAAAAAGTGGATATTATATATATGGATATATATATAGAGTGGTATTTTTAAAGCTTTTACCGTTATTCAATCTAATCAAATCTCTTAGAAATACGCGAATTTTTTATATAAAATTATCTCGTTGACATAGACCCTTCACGAAGACTAATTTAAAAAGTTCCTATCTGAATTTGTTTTAATTCGAGGTAAACTTTGGATAAACATCATGTAAAGTTGAAAATAGCCCTTTTATAATTTTAGAAGTACATTTTGGTGGCGGAAAATGATTTTAACAGAATGACGACTTCTATATACTATTTGCTAGTATACTTACTATTTTATTGGCAGGTGGGTAATTAGATACTATCTGTACTTTACGAGAGTAGTACACATTTAAATAAAACAGTCTTAACGGATAGCAAAATATATTGGGTAAATTTTACAGCAGCCGTCGGGTTAGTTGAAACATTTTCAATTAGGTTTAACTAATACATTTCGCGTTTTAAACCGTTAAAGTATTTTTTTTTATAAATTAGTTTATCATTATTTTTATAAATAACTTAAAAAACTACTTTATAGTAGTTGACTATTAGAGCATTTGTTAGAAGACTTACCTTAAATACATGAATAAAACTATAACATTCCCCCAGCATCCGACAGTCGAGAACAAAACGTAGATAGCGCCCAGACTCTTCTGCATCACTTCGCTGGGCGGTGAGAACTGTAGCCAGTGTTCATTTATCAAATCCAAATAATCATCTGTGAAGTATCGGAACTCCCGCCATTCCTCCACCGGCCATCTTGTTTTAAAAGTGTCAAGTAGCCTTTTATGATTCAACGAGGTGCCGTTCAATTGCGTGGCGTTTGATTCAGCGTATTTTTGACCGATTTCTGGCGACCTCTTATCTCTTGAATTATAGAAATAATCCTCGACTTGCCACAAAATTTGCCCGTATACATCTTCACAACATAATATACTCGCGGTGACTATGAAAAAGCCAAAAAATAGTTTAGCTCTCATCGTGTCACGAATGCGTACTTCGTGGAGTGGAGTTTCCTTCTTTATGAAATTTACTGCCTAATCAAGGTCTGGCATCGTTTGAAAAAGTACCGACTCCCGTAGGACCACTTGCCTTGTAAATGGTATTAAAGTGGGACGCTTTTAACCAAATCCGAAGCTAATAACGATGATTAGATTGATTGATAGACCTCGTAATCCACTTATGCAAACGTCGGTAGAAAACTAAGGCATTCGCTTTTTAGAGTCGCTTCGCATGTTATTTTATATTGTAGTTCGTGTTACAATATAAAAAGTTCGACGAGCACTTAACGTAAATGCTGAAATTTATTTTTTTTATGACGGCTCATTGCTTTAATGATAGTAGTGTATGGCGTATCAACGTTCGATCCCAGCTGGGTCCAAAACGTTTATGTAATTTTTTTGCAACATGTTGGGCTTTGTTTGAAAATCTGGATACTAAATGAGTTGTAAGAACATCAAAAATGTCGTTCAGGTCACTCATCGTCCACAGATAAAAAAGACTGTTAAGTTTAACCGAGTTTCGGCTTTAGTCTGTGGGTATCCAATGGTCTAGAGGCAGAGTTCGTCAAAATAGGTCAATAACATATATTGTGCAGATTCTATATACTACTACTACTAACTACTTTCTTTCCTGCAAATAACATCGATAAGTGGAACGAACACAGAAATGTGTCTGTTCCATAATTTCTACGACACAACTAAAATATTACGCATACATAATCTAACGAATTATACTATATTATGCACTTGAACTTCAACGTAGTATAATTCGTTAGATTATATTTATGATTATAATTTCGACGAGAGCTTGCATTCATTTTCGTCTGTTATTAAATAGCTTTATGAGATCAGTTCGTTTTTACAAGTTATGAATACTTTTCGTTTATATACGACTGTCGTTATGTTTTGTTCAATCTCCTGTATGGCGGTCGTAAAATATTTTTATCCGTGTAGGGCATTAGATATAATTCGAGTTGTACCATTAGAAGAAATGTATGTTTCACGTCTTTACCATTGAGTATTTTGTCCTTTTTTCCCATAAGGAGCACCCTACTATGTCATTTCTCTTACCTAGTTTCTTGTATGCATTAAACAAGAAACAACGCTTATTTTTTCCGCGTCCGTGATACGCTGCACCGTAGGAAAAATAAGTTTATAAGTACATATATTTATTTTAAGTTTCCAGTAAAAGTATTGATATAGCTCAATTTCTTTAATCTTTATTTCCCGTCCGCTTTTAAATCCTTTTATCATTAAAATACACATGAACAATGATGAAAATAAAAATCGAACAAAACTTTGTATACAACATAGTAAATAGAGGACAGAAAGCATCGGGTAAAAATTTAAATACCCCAGCCATATAAAAGCTCAACAAGGTGCGCCGTTGTAGTTTGGCTTTGGATATTAGGACTTGGAAATAGCTCCACCAATTCGTCTTCATTATCACTCGATGAGAATGACACGGATTACGTGAGATTAAATAGTTATTTCAGTTTGTTAAGAGATGTCGCTCGTACACTTCTTTTGTTACGCAAATCATCTGTTAGATTTGTAACCCTGACTGAACGCAAAAAGCAAAGTAAAGTTTAACATTTATCCCGCTAGATAGAGCTTTGCAAACTTTCTTTATACAATTAAAATAATAATGAGAATATTTTTGTAAATTTACGATTTTATTACTTATTTTTATTAATCGTCGATACTACAAATATTACAATAAAAAGACTATTTACATTTCTTAATGATAGATGTCGCTGCTTGTAGTTTTATAATCTTACGTACGGTGTAGTTTATTTTGCTTTTTGAAAATACCACTTTTGTAAAATGTCCGTTGTTTTTTTATATTTAATATCAAGTTATATTTATAAGCAATTTTTTGAATAGAAGGTTTTGGTAGGCTGATCGTTGAAAATGTATGTAATGACTCATCTTAATTAAGAAGCATCTTTTTACTATTCGATGGAAGATATATAAAATAAAGATTATTAAACATACCTAAAATAAGGATCTTAATATAATAATTAGATCTTTGTTGTAGATTTCGATTTTAGTCAGTGCTTTCTACTTGAAAATCCTACTTTGAATAATAACCAGTGGGAAGGGAAGGGTTATTCTGTTAAAGCTTACAAGTCAGAACAAAAGCTGTAAACACATTAATGGAAATGTATACGAAGCCAGTCAGTATTCAAATTAGATGTAATTGACTTAATAGCAGCCGAGTTGATTGCCTCCTAAGCAATGCACAGCACAGAATACAATCATACTCCAACGCATGGCACGCATTAGCATAGCTTAGCTGAAATTAATATTAACCAATTTACAACAAACACGTAGAAATTTGACGTTTAGGGATGTCCTAAAATATCAAACACCTGTGATCTAATTATAAAAATCCCCAAATATTTCACATCAATTAGCAAAAGGAGACCGGTCTGTCTTGGTGTCAATATATTTCACGTTTAACGCCGTAAATTTTTTTTAAATACATTATTGATTCTTTTTCTATTAAATTACATTTTATAATAAGTGTTACAAAATATACATTAATCAGTTAAGTAGTTAAGGAGCAAAAAGTTTATATGGTAAGCATTATTTGATTGGAAAAGTATGTAGTAAAGACTTACCAATTAACTTAATACAAATTATGGATTAATAGAACACTAATAAAAGGAAAACGTCTTTTTTAGTTTGCACTTATATAACAGCTTAGTCCTAGTCATAATAAAAGTGCTTACGATATGTACTTATTTGAACTGCCGCGATTTTTAAGAGGAAATTCTGTCCGTAAGTTCTAAACGCGTAAAAATCATCTGTATAATAATTATAAATAAGAGACAACTTGCCTACGCCCCAAATCATATTACAAAATTTAGAATTCCATAATTAGCTCTCAGACTATAATCACGAGCCAAAGCAGTTTAGTTCACAATTAGATTAACTCGAATTTGTTATTCAAATTTTTCTCTCTTAAAACTGGTAAAGCGGGTTGAATCGTAAATCTGGATTCATGAAGCCACGAATATTTCATATGACACAGTTACTAACGTCTACCGCTAGCTGGAATTTAATTATGTCATGCGTTTAAAACATCTCTTTTCAATTAAAGAAGTATATAAATATATACTGTATTTTTTCTTACTTGGCATTTTTGGTAAAGAAACAGCCAATTAACATAAAATATCGTGGTTTGCTCACAAGGTTTACATTCATTTACACTGAAAACACTTTGAGACACTGGATTATTAATTAAACCAATGAACTACATATATTTAAATTCACTTCTTGATAAAGTTAATAAGAATCCTAAAAAAATATTTACGTATATGCACAGATAAAAAATTATTTTCTAAAAGTTTGACATTTGCATAAAGATGGGATATAAGTGAAAAAACAAAATAAGGTAAAAGTCCCACTTATTCACGTCCGGTAAAAAGCGTTACAAACCTCGAGTTTAATAATAACCTTAAAAGTTTCAAAAATAAGTCGTTATTAAAGTGATTTTGAACATTGAGGTCGTTCGGTCCAGATATAAGGGACATTTCTTTAAACCTATGTAATCTGTGGCAATGACTAAGATCTACACTTAATCGCTATGGTTTGAAATCCGCCATATTTGTTGTGGTATTTTGCCAAGTTAGAAAATCACTATATACATGCTATTTTATATAAATATGGACTTTGTTGGACATTTTATATACTTAGGACTTTTAACGTCACGAATTAGATCACGAAGAAGACCAATACTTCGGAACGAAAACAAATAACTTGCGAGATTTCTCGTAAAATTGCGTCCCTCGATATTGAGTCTCCACGTCCGGTTCGTGGTCCATTTACTAAGCCAATAGGAATATTATCCAGTTGAGTAATTTTTAGCAAAGGTATAATTAAGAAAAATAAAAACATCATTTACACACTATGCATTAAAAAGAGTTAACTATGAATATTACTTTTATTTGCTATTAATATTATATTTTTTTGTTATGCGAGATATTTTTTTGAACTATAGGTAAATTAATATTAAGTAGATTAAAAATGTATGTTTTAGTTTGCTATACTATACTTATTCACTTCTTCTTCATTGTAATATTTTTATCTGTAAAAATATATATGTATATATATCTAAGAGAAATAATTTAGTTCATTCTTTTACTTACTATTTCTTATGATACAATACTGTGATGTTTCTGTTATCTTAAGTAAAGAAATAGGTTATTAACAAATGTAAATGTTGGTAAAATCTTTGGATCATAATAGACAACGAAGCATTATTACGAGCAGCAACATTTTAACGCGAAAAGAAAATGTTTTGATTGGACATGGAACAATACTGAGTTTCATACGGAATCGGAAAAGAGATAAAAAAGCGAGGTGTGAAAGTATTAGGGTTGTCTGTCTGCATTTTTCACAGTGGACTCTTGTAGGGGTTTTTCTAGGTATGTTTCTAGTGCCGTTCATGCTCCAAAAAAAAATCTTGTATTAGCAATACCAGTCAGAAGAAGCATCGATGCCATGAATATTTATTTATTGTAGAGTTATTATAACTACAAACTTATAGCATAGTAGTTAACAGCAAAAATAAATATAACAACCATTCTTCGACAACTTAGTCGGAGAAAAGCGACAACTTAGAAGTAGCTAGGAGCTACGCTACGTCGTAACTTTAATCGATGGCTACGGACGCGATGTAGCATGGCTACGGCGTAGCACTTTATACAATTTTATTTTCGAGATGACGTGGAGCTAAGATTAAACGTCTAAAACAAATACATTACAGGCAAAACATAAATATTAGAGCAGACACAAAATAAATTTAACACATATGCCAGGATAATATTTCTATACGTTTGTATTATTAAAGAAAAATATATCTTTATAGTTGTTAGGTTATCTTAAAGGCGCTGTCAATCAAAATTTTTGTTGGTCCCTTAAGAAGCCTCTCGTCATAAATTATGTCAAGGGCTACACGAAATTCGTTTTTAAAAGTTTGCCTGAAGGCCTTATACTCTTCTGCCTAATGAATGAAACATAATTTAGATATTTATACTGCGTAAAAAATGTTTTTATCGCATAACTAAGTAAATAACTTTACTATTTCAGAAACAGTATTGTATTGTGCTTTTACCGTGCCCTATTTCACGATAAATGTTTGTCGCGCCGTGACCGAACTGGGGATCGCTTCGGCCAATTGACGTTTGGGCCTAAGGCCTATTCTATAAGCCTATTCTCTAGAAAGATAATCCTTCTGAAGTTGAGTTAGACACTTGAATAGAGAAATCAGAATACCGATTTCGTAGAATGTTGGTGTCAGAAAATAAACAATGTTGCATTGAATGGATAGTGACTAACGGGTCGAGTCCCAGCGGGTCTCACATTTTTTTTTAATCATTTTATAATTTCTATAATAATATAAACGTTAAATGTACTTGTTTCAAATTTACATACTAGTCTCGAACCACCGTCCAAAGATGGAATAACAATGTTTTCCGAATGCCCAAAGCCAAAATAGAGTTATAAATGTTATCTATGATCAAGTGAAGCGTGTCCCTCTCATAAAAGTTTGTATATACGTTTAAAACTTTAATTTGTAGGGCCCGCACGGGGCCTAATTAAAACGTCAATCCATTACCAAGCGTAAAAACGTGTTTAATTTTCACTCTGTTCACTTTTCCATATCAACGCTCGGTTTGCGGGGGCTCCGCTTCCATTAATAATGCGCATATTTCTATTTAAAAAAATAATTACTAGAACCAAACAATATGCATTTTTATTTTTTCATCTGACGATTTCACACTGTGCACTAAATATTTACAATTGCTATGAGAAGTTTGTTTTTATGAAAAATAGATAGTGTTTGATTTACCACTGGTTGTTTTTGAAAGTCTAGGTTTAATGTTATGTTGCCTAGGGCGCTCATTTAAAACTTCACCAAGCATACACGACATTTAGCAACGAAATACTGTCTATAGTTTACGCGGTCAACCGTTTAAAACACGATATATATTAGTTTAAGTTATTTAAAAATTATTTAAGTACGGCCCGACGTTCGGATGCTTTGCAGTAGTCGTGGTCACGGGGAGAGCCCAGCAGTCTTCCCGTAACCCGGCCGGTCGCGCCGTAGTTAAAATATTTTTTCAATAAGTTTAACTAATATATATCGCGTTTTATTCATATAAAATGGTTCTTCAACAAATCTGTAACATACAACGGTAAATGAAATGAAGGGATAGAGTATCACAAGAGTAACCGATGCGGAAGGCCCAATAAAATTTATTATAAAAGTTGAAAGTAAAAGCGAAAGAATTCGCATCGGCCATTTGAGGGCGGTAGCTGAGGAGCAGGGCGGGGGGAATTTCCCACAGGATAGTTCGGAGGAAATACTTGATTTTCTTATGACATTATGTAAAAATCACTGTTACTTTATTACAAATATTATTATTACTACGGCACAAATAGGGTAAAATACTACATTTAATGAATGTAGTATATTACTCTATATAAAGAGAAGTAACTAGATAGTACGGGGATAAACAAAACATAGCATCTATAATAAATAGTTATCATTTGCATACTTTCTGTATATTATTTTAAATAAGGCATGTGTTATATAGATGTTATGTAATAGACAAAAGTTTTTGTACACAGACACTAATACTCAGTTAAATAAATAAATAAAAAAAGAAAATTGTCATTCTTACTTGTGTTAATCCTGTTTAACTGGTTTTGTCATATTAGCTACGTCAAGTTTTAAATTTTATAAACTATTTTTTTCTCTCCAGGAACGAAAGCCCGAAGAACAGTGATTTCACAGCCTGTGACATCGCACGCAGCCACCCCCATCCCTACCGCTGTCCGTCAGTTCCGCGCCGCGCCCCGGCCATGCGACACGTTATGACGAGCTGATGGCCGCCTTCGTCTGGTTGCTGGCGGTTTGCTGCCTCCGGGCCGTCGCCGCTGGCAATCCTGACGCGAAACGTTTGTACGACGACCTCCTCTCGAACTACAATAAGCTGGTGCGCCCCGTTGTGAACACCACGGACGTTCTGCGAGTCTGCATCAAGCTTAAACTGAGCCAGCTTATCGATGTCGTAAGTTTATTACTACGAATGACATAATTGTGTTAAAGATGCCGATGTCAACCCTTATACTGCACGTGAGAGATAATGGGCCTTTTAAAATTATAAAGAAAATATATTAACTTTTACATAAAGCCAAGCTCGATAACTATATTTGTAGTCATATAATTGTTCTTGATTTTTCGTTTAAAAGACAAAACTTGAAATACTTAAGCATCCGGCATTTGTGTTTAAAAATCTACATTATTATTATTATTTAAAGCTATCCCTTACTACTTTAATTTAAGGCTTAAAATTATTTTGCACATAGGCAAACATTGGCGTTCAGTTAATTTTCGTCACTATTAGCAAAGTTTCATATTACCACTCGTGTTATATAACGTACAACTAACGTTCCATTAGGTTAGGTTATATAAAATGCCACTGTAGATATATTTTGGTTGTTTCGGGGCGCCTCGCCGTCTCCCCTATGTGTCAAATGAAACGATTCCTAGGGTTAATAAATGAACGGCATTTGGTAGGATGGCGTATTTGATTAATCTTGTACTTTACACGTTAATAACTAATTTTGTTATGGTTATTAAAATAATAACTGTATTTTTACTAGTAAACTAATTATATACAATATTAACAAGAAAAGAATATGTAGATACGAGTTAAAGGAATTAACAGTTAAGACTTTAATATTTTTCACATGTCATTGCGCATGATGGCACTACATAAAATAAACATCGATTATAATTTGTAAAAAAAAATAAACGATGACGTGTAGGACACGGTAGCACAATTGGTTAGAGCAACACGGAAAGCGGTGGATGCCGGCTCAAGTCCTGCCCATGTCTTAAATTTTTTCAATTTTTAATCGATTTTTAATTTTACTAAACAGTCCTTTGTTTTCATCAGTCCTAATCTGTAGATTAAAGAAGGGTTAAAAGTTGGATGAACTTTCTCAAACTCATATTCATATAATCTAAAAATGCGTTGGCGGTGGTAAAAGTACAAAGAACGATAAAATTTTATTTTATTCAGTAGTTACGGTTCCGCACATCTTCAGAAGAATCGGAATAACAATCGGATGCCGACTGGAGGGTTGATATTTAAACGGAATAACCCGAGATGCAAAAAATGTTAGAAAATATCTCGGTGAAATCGAGATAAAAGCTTTTTTCACATCTGAAGTGCTATTTCAGTATAAAAGTTACTTGTTCTTTTTCAAATATTCACTAAGTTCAACTCATATTTGTCGTTAAGCATTTTTAAATCTTTGATTTAAAGAATATATCTACGATTCTAGATCCGAACTCCATTATATACTCCTAATATAAAGGTCCTAAAAGCAAAATGTTTTATGAATGTAAAACATATAATTACTATTAATTCAACGCTTCTTACTTACTGTAACGTAGTAATATTTTTGCTTGTTGCCCAAGTAAAAACATATATACTCGTAGTTATACATATAGTTTTATTGCTATTAGTATAGAATTCTTATGTTCATAATATTTATATATTTAATTTATCTTTTACAATTTAAAGTAAACATTTAATAACATTATAATTTACATAAACTTGCGTGTATGTTTTTGTGAGTTTAGATTGACATTACACGACATTCTTCAAAAGCATGAGTTGTGATTTCATGTGGAAGACCATTTAAAAAATTCCATCTAAGAGCCAACACGATTCCATTACGGAAATCATACGAACGAAACGGCTGCTCGTGCCTCAAATTAAAAAGACTGAAACAGACATGAATGCGCCTGATATGAAAAAGGCCCGCCATTTTTGTTCGACATATTCTTCATTACATTTCGGGTAGATTCATGTGCAATTAATTTAATTGGACAACTTTAAATACCTTATGAATTATGATAGAGCAGGCAAGCATAAAGTTCACTCGATGGTAGGTGAAATAGGCAGCCACATAACATCTAAGTAAGATGCGCCGGCTACCTATTTTGTCTTTGGATATTCGGAAATCATAGACTGAAACTGAACCTTGAATAAAATATCTTAGTGAGACAATTATTAGAATTATAATGGACTAAGACTTCCAGAAATATTAAGTACTAGTAGTACTTTTGGGCATCCAAATAAGTTTTTGCAAACCCGTCATCTTTATAAACTTAAGCTGTTAGCAACAACGTCTATCGCTTCTCTTCCCGTCGTTGTTGCAAGTTAAACTTAAAAGATAGACATTTAGCGTTGCGTACTTTTTTTGGATCGTTTTTAGTTGAATCATTCTTTCATATACAATTTTTAGGTATCTTGAACCGTTTTCGCAGCGTACGCATCTGAAACCTAGAGATAAAAATTTCCGCCGTTTTGTTCACATTTCTCGCTGTATCTTTGTTCCTATTAGTCACATCGCAATGTGCCTATAACCTTCCTCGATAATGTGTGTATGTATTTATCAATTATGTATAATATAAATTTTTCAATTTGAACCCGTAATTCCTGAGATTAGTGCGTTCAAACAAACAAACCAACAAACTCTTCAGCTTTATATATTAGTAAAGATATAAATATAGTAACACTTAGTCTCAATTGAAGGGCAATACAAGTTCTCGTAAAATAACACTAATAAAAGTTTGACATACATCTGCGTATGAGTAGTTTGAATCGTTTGAAACACTGCCACAAAGGAAATTCGTAACACAACTTATTACTTATAAGGCGGTACAAAGCCATACAAAGTGTTTGGAGACCGGCGCGTTAGAGCTTTCTCGGGCGTGCTCAATAATGCAAGCCAGCTTAACGTGCTAACTGACGTGTCACTGACCTAAACAATGACTTATGCGATTCTTATTCGAAATATTCTATGCAAAGACGGAAAAGCCATGAAACAAATCTGTATTTCTGTCCAAAGCGAAAGTAGGACGACAGCGCTAGAACATCGTATATGCCTTGTCTATCATCCTTAAGTGCTAACAAATATATATTACGAGTGCGTTACTTTAACATATGTTAAATTCAGAAGAGAGATCTTCTGAATTTAACACGATTCGTTGGTATAAGCCTTACATTGCAGTCCGTCAAAATATATGTATTTTTAACTATGTTTATTTCAAGTCATTATGCACGCCGCCATTTTAAAATTTAAGTAATAGTTATGTAGCAAAGAAACTTACGTACCTATTTGTCAAGCTAAGGGACGAGGTCATAAAGATGGGAATATAAAGGTCGACGTCAGAAAAATTTTACATTTATTTGTCAAGAGGATATTAAAATTCATGTTGCGATCAGGGCATAGATAAGTAGAGAAGGAAAAAATGTTTGATTGATTTGCCAAATATTTTCAATATATTTGATAGAAATGGGTCCTTCGTCCATTTTTTTAAATAACTTATTTCGCGATGAGATGTACTAGGCAACAATAGCTTCAGTCGAGTAGGACAAAAAAACCGCCTGTAAATAAAATCGATCAGTGACTCGTGGTACGGAAGCATACGTTTATCTGCCGACATAACATTAACTGTATAAAATATTTATACCCTTAAATAAATTACTATTGACAGTTTAAAACGCGCAATGTATTAGCTAAACTAACAAAATATTTTGGTGGCGGTCAGTGGTCGCGTGGGACATTTTCTTAAACCTTTAAAAGTGTTATACTCGCGTAAACTATAGATTGTACAATATTACCTCATAAATCTTTTAGAGAAAAATACAATTCTTAAACCATTTAACTAAAGCATTTGTACTGATATTATAAAGTTGAAGAGTTTCTTTGTATAAACTTCCTAATCCCAGGAACTACTTGTTGGAGTGTAAACATCATTTTTGTGTTGGATAGATCTTCTATCGAGGAAGGCTATAAAAACACGCTGTGGACAATAGGAGAGAAAAACAGTGGAAAAATTAAAAAAAAACGGTGAAAATTCTTTGAGGACACCCCTGCGTGCACTACGAAAAAGGGTCAGCATACTCAAAAATGTTTACAAATGAATAAATCCTCTTTTAATCATTAAACAAAATGTCTGCGTAGTAGTCTATCTTTTAATATTAACGTGATTACTATTCGCGTGCGAAGTCGCGGGTACAGCTAGTGTTAATAATAGAATGCCGAGACAAATATCCTTTTAAGTAACGCAGCGAATTGTATCATTATAATCCGTAATCCGCGAATTCCGGAAGTCAATTGAGTAACCTAATGGCCTATTATAGCTGCCTCGATAATTAATCATTATAGCTCTACAGAGTTTTTTTAATTAGAGGAGTGCAGTTGATACAGCCTCAATAGTCGTTCTGAGCTTGGGCTTGACATTGCTTTGATTTCAAAGCTCACTGCAACTCCATTCCAACATTGTGTCGCAATACAGATAATTATGACACGTTTTTATAATCTATTCTAATATATCAAGCTGAAGAGTTTAATTGTTTGAACGTCCTAATCTCAGCAACTACTGGTTAGATTTGAAAACCACAAATAAATACTGTCTATAGTTTACGCGAGTACTACACATTTAAATAAAACACTATCGGTTTCAAACGCAATATATTAGTTAAACTGATTTTAAAATGATTTTTAACTTCGGCCCGACGTTTCGGACGCTTTACAGCAGCCGTGGTCACGGGGAGACTAAGTCTCAGTGTCTTATTTAAAGTACAAATAAATTTATTTTTTTGTTGGTTATTTATCGAGGTAGGCTATGGGCTATAAAAGTGCGAGGGGAAATTTGAGAAAACACAAGAAACAGATTAAGATACCCAAAAATATGTTGAAATTATGTAATAATTGTCCGCGAGAGTATTTGTCAATTTAAAGTTGAATAAGTATTCTACGCGGATGAAGTCGCTGACACAGCTTACTCGTAATAAGCGCAAAAAATATTTAAGCAGTTTTTTTTTAACAAAATTTTATATTTAATGTGTGGTACTCGCTTCAACTATAGACGATATTTAGTACCAGAAAAAATCGAAAGCGAAAAATTTTAAAAATATTTTTTTTTGAAGAAGTTTTTATTATATTTATAATCCGTCTTTAGACCTACTATTTTCAAAATTATGTG